TGTAAATGCTTTGGTAAAGAGATCTGCGATTTGGTCTTCGGAGGTAATGTAGAAGATACGAAGGGTACCATCACGAACGAGATCACGGACGTAGTGGATGTGTACCTCTATATGCTTCGTGCGATCGTGAAGAACGGGATTAGTAGCAATGCGGATGGCACTGGTGTTGTCAACGTAGAGTTCCATCGGAGTAGCACACTTGACACCAAGATCCCCCAATAAGCGATGCAACCACTCGAGTTCAGATGTGACGTCAGACATGGCGCGATACTCGGCTTCAGTGGAAGATTTGGAGACGCGGTCCTGCTTCTTACACCGCCAAGATATAACCGAGGACCCGAGACGAATGCACCACCCAGTAGTGGAGCGCCGCGTATCAATGCAGCCAGCATAGTCAGAGTCGGAGATTGCCTGTAAAACAAGAGAGCCCTGTGATGGGAGATGAAGACCAACATCCCTGGTACACTGTAAATATCACAATATCCTGTGAACTGCCGCGAGGTGATCCGTACGAGGAGCAGACATGAATTGACTAACGATCTGTACGGCGTAGGCAATGTCTGGGCGAGTAGAAGCAAGATAGATGAGGCTGCCTACTATGCTTCGCTACTGTTTCCCACCGTCCGGCAAAAGATCACCAGAGTCCCTCCCCAGCTTCAGGTTAAGCTCAATGGGCGTAGCAACAGGAATACAATCACCATGTCGAGTAGCCTCTAATAGATCATCAATGTATTTCCGTTGACTAAGCAGAATACCAGATGCAGAACGAGTTACCTCAAGACCCAGGCAATACGAGAGCGAGCCGAGTTCCTTGAGGTTAAATGATTTATGAAGTCCCTCCGTGAGTGCGGTAATGCCCTTTGAATCATCACCGGTAACAATCATATCATCGACATATAACAGCAGTACCACCAATCCACAAGATGTCTGACGAGTGAAGAGAGAATGATCGTTGGAGCTCTGAACGAACCCCAGACTCTGAATAGTAGACTGGAACTTGTCAAACCAGGCGCGAGCCTGCTTCAACCCATAGAGAGACCGTTGAAGGAGACAGACCGAATCAGGCGGGCCAACGTCATAGCCAGGAGGACGTTCCGTATAAACTGTCTCCTTGAGCTCCCCATGCAAGAAGGCGTTCTTGACGTCAAGCTGATAAAGCGGCCAACCACGGAGAGCCGCGACGGCAAGAAGAGTTCTAACCGTCACCATCTTTGCCACGGGTGCGAAAGTTTCCTCAAAGTCCACCCTGTACTCCTGAGTAAAGCCTTGTGCTACAACCCGAGCCTTAAACCGCTCGATAGACCCATCAGGATGAACCTTAATCGCATAAACCCACTTGCTGCCAACAACAGGAATTTCAGGGGGGGGGGGGCGAGGAACAACAACCCAAGTGTTTTGTGCATGGAGTGCCGAGATCTCCTCCTTTATTGCCCCGTCCCAATGAGGTTCGCCTTTGGCCTGGGAGTAGCGAGTAGGAACCAGGACAGGAGCAACCTGAAAGGAGACATAGTCCAAGTAACGGGCAGGAGGCTGCCCCAGATTCGTGCGCATGGAACGGCGGGGAGGAGCAGGAGCTGGAGAAGCCGAGGATGAGGAGGAAGCGTCGGATGATGCTGGGGACGAGAGGGCGGGAGAAGAGGCTTCCGAGGGGGGGGCTTGGCGGTGGGTCCATATCATAGGGGAGATCACCATCATCATCGTCATCTGGGAAGGAAGGAAGAGCCAGGGAAGTGTCAAAGAGAGAAGTAGACTCAGAGGTGGCGGAATAGAACATTAGGTTCTCGAAAAACACGACATTACAAGCTATACGATGACGGCGAAGGGAAGGGTCATAACATAGATAGCCTTTGTGAATGTCGCTGTAGCCTAGAAAAGCACATTTGGCAGTCTTGGATGTGAGCTTAGTGCGTTCAGACTTAGGAAGGAGGACAAAACACAGGCAACCAAAGACTCGGAGACGAGAGTACGGAGGATGTTTAGAAAACAACTTGAAGTACGGACTTTCTTGACCTAAGACCGGAGTAATCTGATAGTTTATGAGGCGAACAGCAGTAGAGACTGTCTCAGGCCAGAAAGAGGAGGGAACACGAGAGGCCAAGAGAAGATCTCGAGTCACCTCCATCACATGGCGGTTTTTCTGTTCAACAAGGCCGTTTTGTTGAGAGACTCCAGGACAGGACTTTTGGGAGAGAATTCCTAGGGATCGATATAACTCGAGAAGAGGAGTAGAGCTGAATTCTCCTCCAGGATCAGACCGGACTACACGAACAGTTCTATCGAATTGGGTTTGAATCATTTTAAGAAACTCAGTGGCTATGGCTCGGAGATCAGATTTTTGACGCAAACAATAGACCCACGTATATCTGGTAGCATGATCAACGAAGAGGGCAAAATACTTATAGCCATGACGAGAGGTAACGGGACTGGGACCCCACAAGTCAGTGTGAATTAAATGGAAGGGTTAACTAATGATTGTTTGACTCGAAGGAAAAGAAATGCGAGTAGTTTTCGCCTCCACACAGCTTGTGCAAGAAAAATCGGACAAATATGGCACATTATTCCCAAATAACTGTTTCTTGAACATAGTACCTAACCGAGAAGAATTTAGATGTCCCAATCGGGCATGCCATAACTGAAACTTGCGATCACCGAGACTCGAAAAAACAGTTTGAGGAGACAACCTAGACACCGAAGACTTTGAAAGACACGAGACAACAGACGATGATGGTGATGATGGAAGTTTGCCAAGTTGCTCCAAGTAGTAAATCCTCCCACTCTTGCTACCCCTGCCTATCTCTCGCCCCGTCTTCAGATCCTGAACAGAGCACCCAGACGGTGCAAAAACAACACGACAACCACTCTCAGTAAGTTGGCCAACAGAGATCAAACTGGGCACAAGATTCGAAACATAATACGTGTGAGGTAATTCCATATTTTTCTCTTTAATTATCCCCATGCCCGCAACTGGTATACGTTATCCATTGGCTACTTGTAACGAAACATCATTAACCGGTGATATATGTGAAAGACTAGATATGCAATTCGTCATGTGATTAAAGCAGGCCGAATCAAGGATCCAGCGAGGAGACTTACCGGAGACTTGCAGACTAGCAAAGGCCGAGGTGATGGCCTTATTGACGAGCTGTTCGAGATGCGCAGAAGTCACCATAATCCCTTCAGCTCCCAGAGCAGCCTCCGTAGCATATGCAGGTCGAGAATCATGACCAGCTGTTGCTGTTTGAGGACGCCACTGGCCAGCGTTGCAAGGAGGGGCGCCTTGCGACGAGCTGCTGCTGCCTCCGTGACCGCTGCCATGAGCTGGACGCGGGGGAGCTACTGGGCATTCAGGCACGATGTGGCCTGTTTGTTTACAGTAGACGCAGAAATTCCGACGTCTACAGTACTTCTTGGTATGCCCCTTAGCATGACAGTGGAAACACTCCACTTCACGGCGCGCCGTCGACGGGGACCTGTAGGCAGCGAACGCAGCAGAATCCCCAGCTTCAGAACTCTCGCTGCCCTTCCCAGCTGCAAAAACCGATGGTTCTCCATTGCCAGGTCGCACATCAATCCCGGCCTGAGTACGAAGTCTGGTTTCTTCTCGGATGAGGGCATCGAGAACTTGCTCCAATTGAAGACCTTCACGATTAAGCAAGGTTGAGCGAACAGCCTCATATTCTGGCTTCAACCGCGCCAAAAATTGAAGGGTGTGAGTCTTTGCTTTCTCAACCCGTACCTTTGCCGACGCAGCGCCGGACAGCAGTGCCGCCGAGAGGAGATCATGTTCTGTCCACAGGAGTTTATCATCATTATAGTATGTGGCGGTGTCCTTGTCTCCCTTATACAGGTTTCCCAGCTCCACCTCTATTTCAAACGGCCGAGCAACGCTCGTCGTAGCATACGTGTCCCGCAGCGCCGTCCACATCGCAGTCGATGTGGGGAGGAGACGCAGCCCCAAAACGATGGATGGATCCACCGGTTTCAGAATCCAGGATCTGACTTTTGCATCCGATTGCATCCACTTGGTCACCTCTTGTTCGGTGGAAGGAGGAACGAGTGGTCTCGTTGTAGTGCCATCCAGAAATCCGAAGAACCCTTGTCCTTCAATGAACGTCCAAAATTGGAACTCCCATAAAGCATAATTCTTCGAGTTGAGACGTGCATTGATGCTTTCCGAATCCATAGGCTCTGATACCATGTTGATCGTTACGTAGAGTAAATCAAGTAGAACTTAGAACGAGACGAGACGGGATTTACGTGGTTTCCTTGTTCGATAGAGATCGAACAAGACTAGTCCACGGGAGGGTCGTAGCTTTCTTATTTCACTTGTCTTTCAACGTTTCCTGTACATTGCATATATATACATTCGACATCCTCACTAACCCTAGCCGATCCCTCTCTGACCTAATGGGCCGAGCCCTTGATACAACATGGCTTTAGGCCGCATAATAATACTCAACATTCTCTTCCCCAAAGCCAAATCCACTTTTTGGCTTCTCCATAATGAATGGGTTCTGCAAAGGACTTTGGATGATTATGACGAATATATACACTTTCTTCTTTTCATCAGCGCAATCCTTACCATCTCATGTTTTGGATCTTTGTCGAAAAAATCCAAACCAACAAAAACTCGAGAGCTTCAAACTGTCATGGTGAATGTCGGACGGACGACGGTCATCCGATGTGTTGAAGATGAAGTGGTGGCGCTCCGCTGAATTGCAGAGGGAAATCGAGTATAATTATAATATTTATTTTTTATTTATTTTTTAATTTATGGTTATAATGAGATGGAAATTATAAAGAGATTTAAATTTTTTATATATAATTTTTTAATTGTCACGTCATACATGTAACGGTCAACTACTAGGGTTGACTGCCACATCAGCGAAAGTTAACGGAGGCTAACGAAAAGTGACCAAACTTAAACTGTTGAACTAATTTTAATGACCGTAAACGAAATAAACTAATTTTAGTGACAAACACAAAACTTTTTAATAATTCCCATGACCAAACTTGCAATTTACCCAATATAATAATATTTCTCGCACGTTGTACACAGGTCTATCTTCATTCTGAACGAACTACGTGACAAATTAGGTACACCGTCTATTTATCCTCACCAGAGTCCAGACCAACACGTAGTTGGGCATTTCTACTTACATATACAGCAAGTATGCTTTTCAATTAAGTAGGTGCATTTCTCAGCTTTAGTCAAGTACCCTTCCAACCTCGCCAAGTAGCCTCTCCTCCATACACTCTTCCCTCGTCACAGTTCAAACTTCAAAGCCAGGGAAACGAGCTAATTTCTCCGGAGCAACGACATCAAACCACAAGCAAGCAATCCCCGCAAGACCCTGGAACAGAGACCACCCACCGTGCCCAATGTCGCTAGCCTCACTAGAGCCTACTGCACTCGTCACCTCGCTCCTCACATTCTGATACAAATAGCCCGAAAACGCCTTGGCTCGTTCCTCGTAAACCCTCTCCCCGGTCAGCCGGTAAAGCGAAAGGAAAGCATACGCATTTCCAGCCACCCCATCGGACAGTCCAACCTTCTTCACCAGCCCACTCCTCCACACAACTTCCCCTGCTTCTATCGCCGCGTCCCTGAATTCCCTCTCATCGGGGAACACCTACACAAATAGAAATTAAAACATTATTCCAAGTCATGCACATAACTGTAACTAGGCCGACCACAACAAACATACCTGTGATGCTTTGCACAAGGTGATGGCCATCCCCGTCGCGCCATGTGACCACCGGACAAAGTTATCCCTAGGGTTCCCTTCGCTCGAAGGGTAGTTCCCGCTGTGCGGGAACCTGTTGCTCATCATGTACCTCAATGTAGCCTTCACGTCCTCCGCGTCTTGCGGAGACAGCGGGAAGTGAAGCAAGACGTGGAGGATTCCGGCGAGGCCGTTGGCCGCGCCCCAGTACCTGGTCCCGTGCCACCGGTACATGAGCGGGCAGGCCGGGTTGTCCGACGCCCCGGCCCTGCCACCAGCCAGCACCGCATCCACCACGGGCACCACAACATCGGCATCGACGGTTCCTTCGCCAAGGTGCTTGTTTATGAAGAGAGCGGCCCACAGGAACCCGGCCCGCCCGTACATCAACTCGTAGGACATACCGAACCCGCCTTCCTCCGGCCCAATAGGGAGCGCGGGCTCTTGGGCCATCTGCAACCAACGTCAGAGATGAGTCTACGGGCGAGATTTGTAAATTGACATGTCGATTTCTTTTGGGTACAGAATTGCATTACTGTACCTGGAGGAACATGTGCAAGAAGAAGTCGCGTCGTTGATGGTCCCCTTTGTAATTGGCAGCGACTGCTCCTATGGCGTATATCCCTCCTCTACCGCATAAAAATGTCACGTGCCTGCAAGTAGTCAAGTACTAACTGACTGGTCAGTTTTCAGCCAGGGCTTCAAAAATATCTTTGCCTTTGGGGGAATCCTGGCTATGTGATGATCCCACTGGCTCCACTACTCGTGCTTTTCTTCCAGAATTGTTGATTTACATAGAGGAATGTAACGATTCCAAACAAGTCTAATATAAATTATGTTAAACAAGACTATTACCAAAATTTGCAGTAGTGGATTATGGTTTCATGATAGACAAATAAAAATCCATCTACATTCACGAGCGATTCACGAGTGATTTTACCGTACTTGTGTATCGGTGTCATATATAGAGACCGAACTTATATCTTTAAGATTATACTACAAATTTGATTTGTACCTATATATCTTCTTTTTTTTTTTTTGTCCGAGTAAGATCAAAGAGATAGTTAGAACAAACACTACCCATACTCCCTCCCAACCCCACTAACAAGCCAACCTACAAAGTCAAAAGAAGCTAACTCTAACCGAGACAGCAGCAGGGCTTTTAGTGCCACTCTATGGGCAGCCCAGTTGACAGTCCGCGGAACAGCCCTAAACTCTATACAATGAGAGAGAGACTCAAGAATCAAAAGACAATCTCGAAGGATAGGGCCACCAATGGAATCCTCCACTGCACCAAGACTAAGATGACAGATGACCACTGCTGAATCGCCCTTGATGATGACACGAGGCAAACTTCTAGAAGTTGTAAGCAAGATCGCATCCCTAGATGCAAGGAGCTCTGCAAGGTAATGGTCTGAGATCCCTTGATGCTGAAACCCGAGGCAAGCAACACATGCCCGTCCGAGCCATAAACCACAAGGCCAGACAAGCACCCAGAGGCTTGGACAGTAGCATCAAAATTGACCTTCGGATGATCTTGAGGAGGGCATTCTCAGGACTGGCTAGAGGAGGCAGGCACATGAGGAGGAACAAAAGGGGCTGGCGACAAGGAGGAGAGCACTTCACGGACTTGAGAGGAGAACTGGCGGGCAAGCGAACGGACATGAGGCTAGATATTTTCAAATCCCACTTTATTTCTTGATTACCATATTCTCCTCAAGAGGCACACGACTTGGAGAATATGGGTTTTGAACTGCGCTGATAGCATAACTTGACATCACCACACACTAAAATTCATTGTTTGGGCCGAAACCAGTATGTCGCTTAATCCCACAAAGTACCATAATATATTGGCAAGGGGGCAATGAAAGAACAAATGTTCCAAAATTATCTCAGGACCTCAAGCAAACAGGGCATCGCCTTAACCTAACGAGATCTGTCTAAAAACCCTATTAATTAGTAGGCACTGATACCTCGGATATAACTGTTCAAAACAATTGACTGTTCGATAATCATCGTATGGAATTTATAGTCAATGTAGGTTGTAGCCACAGCCCACAAATCGTAAACCACTAGTGAAACCGGATCGGCCCATATATAGTATCTTCACGTACATACAAAAACTTTTATGGTACAACCATTAATATACTTATATATTAGTTGAGCTCCTATACTCCACATGTCAATTTTTTTTTTTTTCTATAACGCAGGTCTATCAACCAGCCAAATTTGTGCAGCTTCAATAATCAAGTCTACTGCGTAAAAACTTTGGAATCAAATATTTCAAGCATGTAAATTAAGAACAAGGGTCTAATAATTTTATCATAGGAATATATCTATGTCATTCCCGCCTTTGTCACGGGACTGTGACATAACCTTTTGTCTTTTTATTTTGGGCAATGTCTATTTTTTACCCAAACCTTTTTCAAATTCTTTTATTTTAACCAAACCTATAGAAATTCTATTTATTATCCAAACGTATTATAATTTATCAAAGTCTGGGCATTCATTCTGTTACCGTTACTTATTTCGTCCACGTGAGGGGTGGGATTTTGTTTTGTTTTTTGATAATCTTTTTATTAAAAATAGTAAATGATGGTATTCTGACCGTCACGTAGGAAGTCAACTCATTATGGTCATACTTAGTCAGCATTACTAACAGAAAAGTTGACGGAGAGTTAACGTTTGGATAATTTTTAGGAATTCAATAGGTTTGGTTAAAATAAAAAAATCTGAAAAAGGTTTGGGTAAAAAATAGACATCGCCCTTTTATTTTTCTTTTTAAGCGGACTACCATCCACCAGACCACCACCCACCAAGCATCACCAAGTAGAGGAATATAGTTCCTCCCAATGGAAGATGCCGTACCAGAAATATTTCTACTTTTGGACTTTGGTGGTAGCATCATCGTAATATAATGAATCGAGTGGGAACCCTAAACGAGTTCCTATAATTCCTCCAATTAAAGGAGATAATGGTTTGGTTTACCTGGTAAAACTTTAATTAAAGGTGCCGTTGGAAAATGTTTAGAGAGAAGCATCATAATTAATTAATTACCTGGACGGAGCAGCGGCGGCGGCACACGCGTCGACGATGTCGGAGCAGAGCGCCAAGTCCAGCGGGTTGCCGGTCACCTCGTAGGAACGCAAACAGGTGAAAGCTGTGCCCAGCAACCCGGTGAACAGGGTCGGGTCGGCACCCGCACCCGCACCGTCCCCTGATCTCCACGTGGCCTCCACCACCTGGTCCTTGAGAGATAGGGCTGCAGCGAGGAAAGCATGGGAAGGGAGGTCGGCCATCACCTGTTCGCCGGCGCCGGTGGAATTCTCTTCAGAAGAAGAACCCGAACCAACGGCGGCATTATTCAGCTCCACGACGGACGACATAATGATAATATGTATAAGTGATCGAGTGAGAAAGAAGTTTCTGGGGGAAATGAAGCGGATAATTGTGGAAGTGGGAACTGGCAAAGAGTAAAGCTAAGCTAGGGAGCCCCGTACCGCTGCCAAACTTATATAGCAAAATTCAGCGTAAGCAAAAGAGTGGAAGGCATATGATTCTTACTGGGCTGGGCCTGCTGCTGCCGCCTACTGGCCCAGCTGTACGCGTGTCAACTTCAGCGAATAGCAACTTCGGATTTTGGGCCACCGCTGAGTGGCGTTGTGCTATGCAAATTGCGGCTTGACAACGCGGCAAACACGTAATACACGTGGCTGCTTTCTTTGGGTCTTCCAGGCTTCTATGTTTCAGCATTTATCAATAAATTAATTCACATTGTAAACTCTACCCAACTGTGTTCTGTCTTTTACTCTTTTTTCTCTATAAGATTTGTTCTACCTTGCTTCGTTCATGGGAAATGGATTGGATCAGAACCAAGGTTGTTACATCCCTATCGAATCTCCGGTTGGACCCGGTCCGATCCGAGTCGAGCTTCAAAAGGTCTCCAGCAAGCCCCCGGTCTGACTCCTAAAGAGGGAGAAGAAGAGAGGGGAAAGAGAGGAAAAGGAACGAAGGAAGAGAGATGGTGGGTGGATTATGAAGGTTAGGTAGATTTATTTTGTAGAAAATAAGTTTTCAATAGTAATATGTAACATAAATTTTATTTCAATCATTAAATCTTTAATTACTACCTTATTTGTATATATATTTAAAAAATGTATAAAACGGCTCAAACCGGCCGAACCCCGATCAAATCGTTAAACCTCAAACCCCTTGCTTGATCAGCTCAATGACTTAAACCGGTTTGACAACCTTGATCAGAACCTAAATTGCACGATGGGGAAGCAACTTCAAAGTATTTTATATATCATTACAGTATATATATACCTTCATAAATCGAAGTTGTTAATCCGCAGAAAAGGGTTAATCTAAATCATACAAGAAGACAACATAACATTCTAATACTTAATTACTCCCAACTAGTTTCATATTAGCTAGGGGTGATAGTCGGTTCGGTTGCGGTTAAACCGAACCGATTTATCGGTTAATCGATTATCGAAAAGTGTCAAAATGACCAACCGCAACCGCACCGATTATTCTGATCGGTTAACTGCAACCGCAACCGCAGATAGTCGATTCGGTTGAACAAGTAACCGAGAGACCGCAATATCAAGCCTTAAACAAAAGGGAAGGGGGAATTAATATTTAAGTGTACCAAATTTTCACCCCTCTCTCTTCCGTCTTCTCTGTTCCCCATCTCTTACTCTGCTACCTAAAATCCCCTCTCTTTTCTTCTTCTCAATCTTCTTTTTCTCTACAAATCAAATGAAAAAACTTTTCAAATCTTTTATCTTTTGCTTCTTCTCTGCCTACTCGGAAGCTTCTTCATGGTGTCCACCGATCGGGTATGAGGAAGGCTGGGCGGCGATGCGGCGGAAACAGGCAAAGGAAGGAACAACCAAACGGCGAACGATGCAAAGAGAGGATGAGTAAGGCGGGAGGATGATCGACCAGAAGCCTACCCGGATTTAATCTCCAATTCTTTTGCCGTCGTTGATTCAATATTCCATCTGGGGATTTGGGGGTTAGGCTTCGTTACATGTATGGAGGGATTTGGGGATTTGGGGGTTAGGGTTCATTGCATGTCTGGAGGGATTTGGATCTATTTGTATTCATAGAGGGTTTTGGATGAGAGTTGTGATTTTGGTGCTGGTGCGTGTCTGGTTGGGGCGTCGAGGTCGGGATTAGGGAGATTGGGACGACGAGGTCGAGCTTGGAAGGAGGAGGTGGGGCGGTGAAGTCTGGTTGAGGGTTGAGAAGCATCTGGATGGGGGCTGGGGGCAGAGCAAAGCTCTGGTGGTGGTAGCGAGCAAGGGTAGAGGGGTTATGCCTGTGGCGACGAGGTTCTCCGCGGTTATTTACGGTTGACCGAGTTATTGTCGGTTAATCACCGTCGGTGTCCGGTTATCAAATTCGCCTGAAATCCCCAACCGACACCGACAGCAGTTTTCGGTTGTTGGTTTCGGTGAATAACCGCCGGTTTCGGTTCGGTGGTCGGTCAAACCGGATAACCGCCAACCGATTATCACCCCTAATATTAGCAATATAAATCAGTCGAACCACTATTCTTCATGAAAAACATCGATGAAGAAACATAAAAAATATGGGTAAATTGCAAGTTTGGTCACTATGTTTACTAAAAAGGTTCAGGTTTGGTCACTACAAATATTTAATTTCATTCGTAATCACTGAAATTAGTTCAACAGTTCAATTTTGGTCACTCTCCGTCCAAGTCCGTTAACTTTGTCTGATGTGGCAGTCAACTCTCATAGTTGACCGTTAAATAAGTGATGTGGCAGTTAAAAAATAATAAAATGTAAGAGAAAAACTTGGGTGCACCGGGTGCACCAGCAGGAATTGCTGAGGTGGTGCACCGTGCCAATCCCCTCTTGCCATCTGTACACATTAACTAATAAGGATTTAAAATTAAAACTCATAACTTTAGTGCGTGCGTGCGTGCAGAAGACTAGGAATTAGGAAGGGACTCTTTCTCTTTCCTTTTTAATGGCTTAGGGTTAAACTTTTTCCTTTCAATTAATTAATAATTTATTGAATAAACACCCTGTAAACTGAAAAGTTGAGTCTCAGCCGCATCATTGCCGTCGGGTATTTTCCGTCCGGTGGTACTCCAACGATTAAAGTACCCAGTGCACAGCTATTACCACCAAGTTCGTTATTTTCTTATTTCTTAACCATTGGATTAAGTCAAACTTGTACCCATCTTCATCACGACAAAAAGTAGGAAATAGCTGGGGAAGAACTGAAACAGGACGATCCTGAGCGAAATTCAAAAGAGGAATCAATCGAACAAAAGATCAGCGAAATGAACAGAGAGAGCGAGAGTACATTTGCAGGCTCAGAGGATGAAGATGGCGGTGAAGAGGTCTCACCGGCTGCGGCTGCGGCTGCGGCTGCTTTTGGATCCCCTTTACTTCACCGACTCGAGCGACTGTTAGTGGAGAGAAACTGAGATAAGATAAAAAGTGGAGGGTGGAGGTCCTTTTCTTGGTTTTATCGAGAGGAAATAAACTCAATTAAGAAAGAAAGAGAAGACAGTCTCCCGTAGCAAAAAAAAAAAAAAAGAAATAGGGAATATAAAGTTTAATTTAATTTTTCGGGTGGGATAAATGTGTACAGATGGGAGGAGGGGATTGGCACGGTGCACCACCTCAGCAATCCCTGCTGGTGCACCCGGTGCACCCAAGTTTTTCTCTAAAATGTAATATTCTACAATTTCCACATCTTTTTACAATAAATTAAAATAAAAAATAAAAAATTATAATTGAAGTGAGAGATCTCCTCCTCCCACCCCTCTCGCGGCGATTTCGCTCCTCCGATTCTCCGTCGACGATGACAAATTGACAACCCTCTTCTTCTGATCGTCGAGTACTCTCCGCCTGGTAATGTCCGCGACGGCGACACTGAGCACTCTCCTCTCATCTTCTTCGGCAGCGACTCCACCATCAGATCAAGATTCGCGACAACGGACTGAGTAGGGCCTTCTTCTTCTGCCACAGGCTGCCCAAGGCACTGCCTCCGTCTCAACATCACAATCCTACCAGGGATGTTTGTTTAAGCGAACCCAAATTACAGCGGAACATACACAAACTCATTGCAAAATTAAGTAAGGATCAGCCTAGGAGTTCAAAGTTTCTAACAGATATAAACAAAGCGCCCAAAGCTTCATTAAAAGCAAGTTATCCCAATAGAAAATCAAACAATCCGAATGCATTCATTCAATCCGTGGAAACAAGTACAACATAAAGTGATATATTTAGAGTTGTTCGCGTCTCAGAGCCATTTTCTTTAATCAATCAAAGCCCAAAACTAATCAAGTGCTTGGAACTGCTCTAGGTCATAAATTCATACTTCAACCAACGGAAATCGGCAGCTCCATTGCCACAAATCTTGGATATAAGCTACTTTCCAAAGTTAGCATATCTCTTCCCAAATTTCTAGATCGAGAACCCTACTCGCCGCTGCATCTCCCTCGGCAGATTCCTTCCTATCTCCCACTCACGATCTGGAGACAGACCTTATTCTAGGTAACTTCAGCTGCGAGGAAACCTATCATATCACCGTGAACCCTGAAGCAGCAGCAGGAATCCCCCAACAACAAGGAAGTCCACCACACACGACGAGGAGCTCCGCTCTGTTCTTGCTTGAGGATGCTTGCAAATCCACTGGAACAATGAGCCAGGAGGAAAGGTCGAGTCTTCCAGAAATCTAAAACTGGTTTGGAGTGGAGGGTTGTGTGGGTGGGGTTTGGAGGTTCGCTGTGAAAATGAGGAGAGAAACAGGGGAGGTGCCGTGGTTGGGTTATGGAATTATAGAAATTTAACTTTTAATAGGTATTTAAAATGAATAATTTTTAATTTTTAATAGTAGTGATAATGAGGTGGAATATTTAAAAAAAAAAATTTATTTTTTTAATTGCCACGTCACAAATTTAACGGTCAACTATGAGAGTTGACTGCCACATCAGCTAAAGTTAACGGAGTTGGACGAAGAGTGACCAAATTTGGATTGTTTTACTAAATGTAGTGACCATGAATGAATTTAAATATTTCGAGTGACCAAACATAAACGCTTTTTGTAATCTCAGTGACCAACAATGCAATTAACCCTAAAAATATATATATATATATATAATTAAACAATGAAAGACATATGTCCTATATTTTCAGAAACATAATGATTTATTGAGAATTAGAATTCACAAATTATCATCGTAACTATACAGGGTGAAAATCATCAACATCATCATATTTTTAAAACAAAGTATCATAAACAGAGGAAAACAAATTAACAAAAAAAAAGTTATATGGTAATTTGTACACAAGCTGAAGCCATAAGTTGCACACAAATCTTGAGGTTATAAAGCTCGTTTACATATCAAAACTACAGGTTAATTTAGAGCCACCATGTATGTTGAACTTGAATTTGTATGTGTATATATGTGACATAATGATAACGGAAAAGGAAAACGGAACACAACAAAAAAAAAAAAAAAAAACACGATCAAATCTACAACGAATAGAGTTTTTTCAGAAAAAAGACCATACGTGTTCAAAAATCCTCCAATGCCGGCGACATTTCCCTCTTGTGACCTTCCCCGCCGCCGGGTGTCTCCTTCTTCTGACCTTCACTGCCCAGCGACAGCTCTTTCTTCAACCCATCCAATCCGCCGCCGCCCAACGACGGCTCCCTCTTATGCCCTTCTCCCCCACCGCCCATCGACGGTTCCTTCCGGTGATACCCTCTCCTCCTCGTTATCATCTCCCCGAATCTCCTCAGCAATGCCCTCTTCTTCCTCGGATTGTTCTTGTCGCCGTCCAGATCGTCCCCTTCCAGATGCTCGAACTCGTCCGCCGGTGCCGCCGCCTCGTGCTCCGGCTCCGAGAACGTGAAAGATTTCTTCCTCTGATGCTTCGGCGCCGCCGGTTGCGGTGCCGGCGGCGATTCCACGACGTCGAAGATCGATCCCTTCAACGGATCGAAATCCTCCGCGTCCTCGAACTCCTCGTTCTCGTGGTGATCCTTCTTTTCCTGCTCCTCCGCCGCCTCTTTCGCCGCCTTGCTCGGAATTATCAGCTCCCTCAGGTTGAAACTGAACGCGCTGCTCAGCTTCCTCGCGTGCTCTTTCGGTGGCGCCGCTGACGTCGTCGTCGCCGATTCACTTCCCCCTCCTCCTCCTGCGCCGCCGTGAGACTTCTGATTTTTCTGATGATGATCCCCTCCCCCTTCCTTCTCTTTATGATCCTTTTCTTCTACTTTCCCCTCTTTCCCGGTTTTCCCGGCTGCCGATTCGGCCAATTTCTGCTTCAATTCTTTGATCTTCTCCTGCGCCGCCGCCTCGTTCGCCCTAAGGCTCTCGTTCTCCTTGGTAATGAAGACCAGCGCATCGTCCTTCTCGTTCAACGCGTCTTTCAATTGAGAATTCTCCGATTGAGCGATTGCGGCAGATTCCTTCGCCGCCGTGGCCTCGTTCAGCGCCTGCTTCATTATATCCCTCAGATTCTGCGCCTCCTGTTTGGTTGCCTTCCCTGCATTCTCTCCCTCCGCCATCAGTTCCTCCAATCGCCGATTCTCCTTCACCGCCGCGTCCCTCTCCGCCTCCGCCTTCCGTATGCACTCCACAAACCCTTTCTCCTTCACACTCCACGCGCTCACCGATTCCTCCGCGTCCAGCCGCAGCCTCTCCGCCGCGTTCCGGTACTGCTCCGCCTCCCTCCTCGCCTCCTCGATCCTCGCCCTCTGCCGCTCCTCCGCGCTCCTCACCCGCTCCCGCGAGTCCTCCGCCTCCCTCCGGTAGTGCTCCAGCTCGCCTTGCGTCCCGATCAGCTTCTCCCTCGCCGCTTTCGACTCCATAATAACTTCCTTCAGCGCCATAGCCAAATCATCCAAGGCGATCTTGCTGTTCTCCTCTGCCTCCGTCGCCTTCCTCAGCTGAATCTTCAGCGACTCGTTTTCCTCCACTAAACCGTAGCTCTTCATCGCTGCCGCGGTCTCCGCCTTGTGTGCCCGAGCCAGGCTCTCCTTCGCCGCCTGAAGCTCCACCTTCAGATCGCTCAATTGCTCCTCCGACGGCGATCTGGATATCCCGTAATCGATGTGCTGGCTCTCGCTCTCTTCCTTGGCTTCCAATCGATCCAGCCTCTCGCGGAGGTTCTCGGCTTCCAGCTTCGATTCCTCGAGCTCGATCTTCACCTTCTCGAACTGCTTCGTCTGCTCCATCAGCGACTCGATCATTTTGGTCTCGGATTGCTTCAATTTCTCCAATTCGGATTCCAATTCGGCGGCTCTCCTGCTGATCTTGGATAACTTGTCCAGGCTCTCGACCTCCGTAGATTTGGCCTTCCCCAAATCGTCGACCAGTTTGGCCTGAGACTCTTTCGAATTCACGACCTCCGCGGTCAGCGATTGGATCATCTTCTCCTTGATCTTGAGGTCCTCGCTGGAGATGGTGAGTGCCTCGACGGCGTGATTCAGCTCGGAGAACACGTCGGCGACCCTGCCGGTGGTCATGGATTCGGTGAGGCGGTTGTTGGCGTGTTCGGCCACCATTTTCATGACCTGAAGCTCGTCTCGTAGCCTGTCTCTCTCGGCTTCCACTTCGGAAAGTCTGTTTCGTAGATCCTCCATGCCTTCCTCCTTCGCCATCTCCTCAGGTTTCACCAATTTCTCCTGCATCCTTCTTCTTTAATTGAATTGATCACAGCTCTGTGGAAAATTCAAGATTTTTACCCTTTTCCGCCCTATCCTGATGGGGAAAGAAATCAAATGGCAGAAATATTTTACTAAGAAAATTGGAATCCAAATCCTTCCCCTGTCAGGATTCAGCAGTATGTCAAATGGATTTGGGAATGGGTGGTGGATGGGAGAAAACTTTTGTCTGGCAGATGGAATTTAGATCCAAACAAGTTGGGTTGGGTTGTGTTGAATTTGATTCAACGAGAGAGCACGCTCCGAAGTGCTTACATCTGGAGATGGTGATCACGCAGGTCAAGTGCTTTCGGTTATCATCAGTTTCGGCTCTGTCTATAATTGATGATATCATGAAAAAATTGAGCAAGGTGGAAAGAGAAACCAATAAGGAGAGGAAGGAAAAGGGTGGATGAATTGGAAGACGATGTTGTTTGAATAATTCTTGGTAGTGTGAATGAATGAACGGTTCTAAAATTAGAAAAGTTCAAAAAGGAAAGGATGGGAAGAAACAAGAAACAAGGACTTGTTGTTGAGGGTAAAGCCATGCAATTGGTCAGGTTTGTTGTTTCAAAACCCATCCTGCGAAGTTGAGGGGTGGAGGAGGGATTTGTTTTTGTTTTGGGGGCTCCATGTATAGTTCTTGCAAGTTTACCAACGGTTGCAACCTGGAGTGGATTGTGTCCGCGGATGTTTGGTCATGTCATTGGTCCTAAAATAGCTGATGTTGTTTTCATTATTCATGTTGAAGGACTGGTAGCCAGAGAAGGAATTTGGAGATACAAATTTAAAGGTTGTTGAGGGTCTTTCTTTCTTGATTTTTATTTTTTATAACAGGGTCTTTCTTTATTTTATTACCTCGACCACAAAATCTGAACAGAAATTACAGGCTCCAAGCCTCCAACCCAAATCTAACCTAACATGGCCTCTGTACCAGCACTTCGGTGCAAACTTATTCAAAGGGGTTAGATACGTTTTCTAGGTCTATTACGCCATTCATTCTTAGCATGCGAACTCCGAAATACCGAATTATTTGGCATTCAATTCATCTGAACTATGGAAGCAGGGCCATCAATATACTATGACACTAGATATAAAGCAGAACGCGGAAATTGATATAAGAATCACAAAGGGTCTAACAAACTATATATCATAGGCAATGGTTCAGAATCTCCAACAAAATATCACAGGACACCACCATTAGAGACATATCACTTAGCAGAAGCCATCATCCAACAAGGTCTAACTACCTCAAAGCAGAAACACTATTTCTATCTACCCTAAATCCCATCATGACAGATGGAAAACAACAGTCAATTACTACACCCATTAAGCAACCAAACAAATTACACCATTCCATTAAACCATCTTCCCATTCCAGAAGATGTCAACCAGATCACATTCTAATTCTTCCTTAAGCACGCTCGCCCCTGATCCTCCTGGCCAGCTGGATATCCTTGGGCATGATGGTTACACGCTTGGCATGGATGGCGCACAGATTGGTGTCCTCAAACAGCCCAACAAGGTAAGCTTCAGCTGCCTCCTGCAGAGCAAGAACGGCATGGCTCTGGAAACGCAGGTCAGTCTGCAAAAAACAACATAGTCGATATTAAAGGATTAGTACAGTCGCAGCAAATACCAAGAGAACAAGAACCTCATTGAATTCTGAGCATACTAGATACCTTAAAGTCCTGTGCAATTTCACGAACAAGCCTCTGGAAAGGCAGCTTCCTGATCAGAAGCTCAGTGCTCTTCTGGTACTTACGGATTTCACTGCACTCCATATAAACAAACTATCTATCAGAATGGTTATTATGCTTTAAGTTGAAAGCAGACTAATTTGTATTTAGCACAATTCAAACTCACCGAAGAGCAACAGTTCCAGGCCTGTAACGATGGGGCTTCTTCACACCACCAGTGGTAGGGGCAGACTTACGGGCAGCCTATCAAAGAACGGAGAAAAAACCCCCTTAGATTCCACATGCACATCAGATAGGCGAAGAAATTGAACAAATTGGAGTTGATGGGGTAAGGAAAGGACTAAAAACCTTGGTGGCGAGCTGCTTCCTGGGAGCTTTTCCTCCAGTGGACTTGCGGGCAGTTTGCTTTGTACGAGCCATCTGCGGCAGAAGAACACAACACTTAGTACCAACCACAAACCTCGGGCAGGAAATCTATATCCCAAGTTCACAATTAACCAATTCGAATTCTACTGATCGCCCCAGATTGGGAGGAAGATGAACTTATTCGACTCAGAAACTAGACATGGAGCCAAAACTAAAGACCACTCTTTAGATCTCATAGACAGAAATTAATGCGTCCCTAACCCCCAAACCTAAACAAACAGTATCCAATTGCAGCGGAATTCATTCTGGAAGCGAAGAAAATACATTTCCTCGACGATAATCAACGCTAAACGACTTAATCAAACCTAAATGACAAAAAAAAAACCCTAATTTACTAACCAGCTGGCAGTGCAATCAAGGGAAATGGGAGAAATCCAGATGAAGAAGAAACAAAGAGACGGACTGAATCGAAAGCAACGAAGCAAGAATCTGACGCATACAACGCTATAGATGACTAGTCCTATTCATAGAAACGGAAGAAACAAGGAAAAGATCCCCCATACCTCTTTGACCTTCCTCCTCCTCGCTCCTCTTCTTCTCCTTCTCGCTCCTCTTCTCTTCTCTGCTCTGCCTCTCTCTCTCTCTCTCTAAAAAGCACGTAAAAGTTCTGAGATGAAACGCCATCGAGGCCTATTTATAATGTGCGGTCGTCAAGGATCGACGGATGTGATAGACTATCCGTGTGCTAGTTCGGTAAATCATCCAACGGTTTGCAGGACACTGATTTGTGTTTTCTTGCGTTTAGTGGACGGCTGCGATTGCATACTATGAGGTGACACGGATCACAGTATGTGAATTCTCGACTCCTATTGGTTGGTGATTCGCAGCAAAGATGGGTGCTTACAAGTTGTGGTCCACGTAGGCAGTTTCATTCACGTTCGCCGTTTGAAAATCAGTTGTTGGTGGTCGGTGGAACTGGGGAGACGTGTGGAGAAAGTTGGGGACAGATTCCTTTTATAAATCGGTATATGAGGGTTCAAGGGAATAAAAGGGTTTAATGCACTAAAAGCTCAAAGGGCCCAATGAGTGGGCTTGATAACTTGTAAATCCGGACTGGGGTCTGCTACCTCCTTATTTTATTTTGCGTTATTTTGCGGGTGGTCTGCTTTATGGATTTGAAAAATAAATGTTTGGTAAATTTTGAGTTTTATAAAATCATGAATATATGATGGGTTTGGGATCATTGTGGACTTTATCATTGTTTGTTTCATTAATTTCATGATAGTATTGGTTTATTAGATTTGTGTGCATAAAGTGAAAATGATCTATAGTGCCCTCATAGGTATGAGATGAGAAACATAATACGAGGGGTAGTTTCATCACAAATGATGGACTTTAAAGTCCATCATCAAATTCCACCTAAAAAAGTGGAATTTTCAAACCCGTGGGACCCAAGAATTTGGACCATGGGGCCTATGGATTTGTTGTCACATTATCACTATTTTTTATTTATAAAATATTTTACTTTATTTTTTTATCATAAAACAATTATTTTTTTGAATTTATATTCTTCAAATGATAAATGAGAATATGTCGTCCAGTCTTGTACCCACGCGAATATTACCAGACATGGCCCGTACTCAGTGCGAGAAAAGTATGTATATTGAGATGCCCTCCCGCCTGAACTATTTGCCACCCCTACTCGACAACGATGGCAGCGGGAGAGGCATGTTGGTTGGGTTCGTGGGCAGACCCCATCTTGGTGGGATTCTAGTCTAGCCGAACTCGGGCTGATCTGATTCGTGCACCAGTGGTCTACCCTATTTTTGGTTTGGTGGTTATTGTCAAGGTGGGTCAGGCCTGGAATGCAAACATCCATGGTAAGGTCGATTATACTCACGCCTGGGATGAAAAAATTAAATCAAGGGGTCGTTTGCTTGATGTCTATCATGGCCTGGAATGCAAACATCCATGGTAAGGTCGATTATACTCACGCCTGGGATGAAAAAATTAAATCAAGGGGTCGTTTGCTTGATGTCTATCATGGGTTCACTATGTAGGTCTTGCGGTTACCATTGAAGGCATGTCGTGATCTCCCAACTAGAGAGCTATGTCAGCAAAGTTTGATGAAAAATGTGAATAGTTTGTAAAACTCTTACTCCATTGTAAGTGAATTCCATTCGAACTAATTTTCCTCATTAAAGGAAATTTTTTTTAAGAGCATCCACATCAATGTAATTGCAAAATCAATTGCATACATGATTTGATTCCCACATAAACAATTTTTGCAATCCAACTCATATTAATGCCATTGTACCTACATCAATGCAATTTACTTGCAATTGCACAATGAATTAATAAATATTGTGTTTGATTTATGAAAAAATAAAGTAGAAGAGAAAAGAAAATAAAATAAAGAATTCCCATTTTTTATGTCATTTTGGCTTTCATATGCAATTGCATATGTTTCAAGATTGCAAATATGCAATGGTAGCAATATTAATGTAATTGGTTATGCAATTGGAAAAATACATGTCATGTCATATTGAGTGTTTTGTAGTTTTGGATGAATATTTTATTGCTTCCACCTTATGTTCTAAATGATATTGAAGTGATTTGCAATGAATTCTCATTGAGTGTGGGGCGTCCTGGTACTCGTAGTAAAGTTCTTGTTGCGCGGAAATATGTGATTCTACTTAAGGCAGAGGGAGGTTTGGGAGTTGGTGACTTTCGAACTTGGAATAAAGCATGTGTTCTTGGACATCTGTGGAACGTACTTGCAGGGAGTGGATCTCTTTGGATTGCTTGGGTGAAATGTAATACTCCTACTTTGACTGGTTCTTGGTCTGGAAATGGATATTGAAAGCCAGAGTTATATCCAGTAGCTTCATTTATAGGGTTTTGTTTGTCGATGTCATTTTTTTTTTTTTGCCTCCAATAGAACCATTGAGGAGAAGTAGAAGGTTGTTAGGGAAATCCTTTTATCAAATGGTCGACTCATGGTACCCCGCTTTCGTGGACAATGTTTTCCTCGTTCGGTAAGCGAGAGTAAGGGTCAGTTTGTCATGCCCGAGTTTTTTGGATGGATTTGAAATGCGTTAATTTCTCGATAGTGAAAAGTAGTGTTGTAATCATATCCTTCCTTTGTCACATGAATATAGAGATAAAGGCGACCATGGTTTTATATCGAGTGGCAGCTCATGGTACTCCACTTTCGCGGACCAATCCCTTCCTTATTTGGTGAGCAGGATTTGGGGGTAAGCTTGTGATGTCATTGATTTTTCTGCATTTCAAATGCGTTCATTTCTTGATAGTATGCTTAGAATTTTGCGATGTGACTCGCCTATTGATAACAAGATATCCCCCAGCCTAGGGGTGGGCATCGGTTCGGTTCGGTTCAAACCGAACCGAACTAAGCATACCGGTACCCTAATATAACTCGAAGTTGAAACCGATCCCGAACCGAAATATATTTCGGTTCGGTCTGGCCGAACTGAAATATATTCCGGTTCGGAACTAAAAAACCGACGAACCCGACTTCTCTCCTTGCTTTCCCTACTTCATCTTCTCATTGAAGACCCACAGCCAAAAAAATCAAAACCCAATCTTCCTTCTCCCTCTCCCACCTCCTCTTCTTCCTTCTCCCACCCCCCAGCAGCATCAGAGTTCAACTTCGCCCAGAAGCAGTCGCTGGTCGCAGTCCCCAGCCCAGAGGAAGCATCACCGCCATGGCCGCCTCCTCGAGAAACTTTCTTCTGAATCGTCAGATCCGACGCCGGCGAAAGGATAAATCAGGCTTCGCTCCCTCCGCCGCCGTGGTCGCACTCAGCTCCCTCCGCCGCCGTGGTCGTGCTCAGCTCCCTCCGCCGCCGTGGTCGTCCTCTCCCACCGCGACCCTTCCACTTCCCGTCGCCTGCATGTGGCTGTCGACGGCGCGATTGGATTGAAGGGGATGCATATTGGGTGTGGGATGGGAGGTGATTTTGTTGGAGACGAGCTAAATCCCCTAGAATCCCACCCAATCTGCCAAGTCTTCTCTAGTCTCCTTTCTCTGCCGGCGGCTGCGATTGCTGCATGTGAGTGATAGGATTGAGAGTGGTTAGTGGTGAGGTTTGGTCTGGGCTAGGGTTCCACTAACAAATGTAGAGAGGGAGGGCTTGGGCCTTGGGGTTGTGGGCTTTGGGATTGGGGTGTGAGTGTGTGAGATTGGGCTTTGGGTTGTGGGCTATGAGTGTGAGAGTTGGGATGATCGGTTGCTCGGTTCGGAATCGGAAACTCGGTTCGGTTGGACAGATCCTGGTTTCCGAAATATAGGGTTTTCAGTTCCGAATTCCGAACCGAATAACAAATGTTCGGTTTCGGTTCGGGTTGGCTCGGTTTCGGTCTGGTTCGGTCCGGGTTTACCGAACCGGATGCCCACCCCTACCCCAGCCCACCCCCTTTGTTCTGTCGCCCTATTTTATGTGTGTGTTGAAAATTTTGTTTGAAATACTTAATGTGTCGATTGTATGGTCAGGTTTTTATATCAAATATGCTAATTTATTGATTGAGTTGTTGGTTTTTTGTTGCTTTCTGTAGGATCTTTGAT